TCGAGCAGCGTAGCGACGCCCTGCTGCAGCTCGCGATGGGAATCTAAGATCTTGGCCAGGCCCTGGCGCACCTCGTCATTCATCTCGCGCATCTCGATCAGGAGCTCGTCGTCGGGCACGTGCGCGTTCTCCACGACCTCCGCGATCGCGAACGGAGTCCGCGCGAGGATCGCGGCGGCCGCGGCCGAGTCCTCGTGGGTCTCGGAGCAGCGCTTCGCCACGAGCATCGCGATCGACTGTTCCATCTGATATGTGCGCTCGAGAATCTCGGCGTCCATCGCGAGCTTGTAATCGAGCTTGAGGCTCTCGAGGCACGTCGTGATCTCCTTGTCGAGCTTCGTCAGCGAGTTGACGCGCCCGCTCTGGAGGAAAGCGCGCTTGAGCCAGCCCTCCCGTCCAAAGGCGTCGACGGCCAGCTTAAAGTCGCACAGGAGGCATTTCAGCTTTCGCATCTTCGACTCCACGAGGTCCGCGTTCCCGGATTCGAGCTTCGCGGCGTTCGCGGACATCTGCTGCAACGCGCCGAGGACGTCGACGACCCTTCGCCCGGCCATCAAGACGTCGTCCGACTTACGCAAGTGCTCCTCGACGGAGCGGAGGATGTCCTGGGCCGCCTCGCAGACCGGACCGATGACCGGCATCACGCGCCCCGCCGTGAGGAGGACGCGGGCCGCGGTCATGCCCCGCGCGACGACGCCCTCCGACTCGCGCATCAGCTGCTGGTCCCGCGCGCTGGGCGCGGGCGTCTTCGTCGAGGCGGAATACCGCGCCGCGCCCGCGACGTTCCACGCGCCGCCCGCGAAAGCCTCGTCGCGATCCGGAGGCGCCTCGACGTTGAAGTCCGCGCGAGCCGCGGCGGCCTTGGGCCGGCGGCGCATGATGCAGACGCAGGCGATGGCAACCGCGACGACGGCCGCGACGGCCGCGGCCGCGATGACGATCGTGTCCGTGCTGGCGCCGCTGGTTCTGCCGCTTCCGGAACTCGTCGTAGGCCGGGGAGTAGGTTGCGGCGTCGGCC